CATACAATGTAGCAATGAAGTTTTATTAGGGATTCGGCATACAATGTAGCAATGAAGTTTTATTAGGGATTCGGCATACAATGTAGCAATGAAGTTTTATTAGGGGATTCGGCATACAATGTAGCAATGAAGTTTTATTAGGGATTCGGCATACAATGTAGCAATGAAGTTTTATTAGGGATTCGGCATACAATGTAGCAATCCGGTTCTATTCTCAATTCAGTATACAGTGTAGCAGTGCAGTTTTATTCCAGATTCAGCATACAATGTAGCAATTTGGTTTCATTCCAAATTCAACAATGTATCAATAAAAATGTATTCAGAATTAAGTATACAATGTTGGAATTAAGTTTTATTAGGGATTCAGCATACAATGTAGCAATGCGGTTTGATTTTAATTCAGTATACAGTGTAGCACTGCAGTTTTAGTCCAGATTCAGCATACAATGTAGCAATCTGGTTTAATTTCAAATTCAACAATGTATCAATAAAGATTTATTCAGAATTAAGTATACAATGTAGCAACACTGAATCCTTCCGAATAAGACATTTGAACTGTGCTGCAATCTTTTGTTTGGGCTTCAACATATTATAAAGGTAAGAGTGGGTCACCCTACTATTGCCTGGTACATATAATAGGCAATAGAAGAGGGCCGTGCCACTTCAGCCAGTGATTTACAGTATATGTATATAAAAAATAATTAAAAAAAATGTATAGAAATACATTTTCTCTTTTTACAAAAATGCAACTTTTCAACATAAATGTAAAAAAATGTAAAAGTTCCTAAAATAGTCTGTCGAGCGGCAGGGTTTGTGCAGTGGACGGTTCCCATGCATCGGATGACATTGGAACAATGCGAGGTTAATATTTAGAAAGGAATGTTTTCAGGGAAGGGATGTCTAACATTAATTGAGACAACTGTAAAGGAATTACGATCTCAAAATAGTGAAAACTTCAAGAACACAAGAGAACAGAACAGAAGGAGTCCTCAGGAAGGGGTCGATCGGTCTGCACAACCATAGCAGGAATGTTTTACACCCGGGCAATGTTTATACCCCCCCCTCCCCCAGGTCACTTCACAAGGACCCTCAGCATAGTGACACCAGGGTCCCATAACAAAACGAAAATCTAGACGTGGGGTATATGGGGGCTTCAGGGTGTGCGGACCGAGGGTACACATTTATCATTCAAAGATAAAGAAAAGCATAGGCAGTATAGAGGAAATCCACTTGCCTGATGTTTGATGGGTTTAGGTGACTCCGTCTGTTGCAGTAAACAAATGAATAGGTTAGTGGGGTGCAGTTAATATCACAAATTAGTTTCAACAAATCATTATATTCACAAAACGCTGAAAATTAAACACGGAGTGCCAGTCCTGATTGGAACTATGCAAGAATCTGAATATTCAATATGAAATGATTGTCATTGTACCATCTTTCCCTGAAGATGTCATTTTCGACGAAACATGTAGGGACCGACCTAAACGTGATGACATCGCGCAAGCTAGTGGGTCAGAGCCAGCATTTTTTCATGACTATCAGCCTGCTACTTTATTACGAATGCTCTTTATTCTGTGTGCTATATGAAAAAAGTTTGTAACATTTTTACCTCATTGGTTTTATGGAAAAGCCTTTTTAGAATAAAGGGCAATTTTAACACACTATATTGCCAAAAGTTATGGGCCCACCCTCCAAATCATTGGATTCAGGTGTTCCAATCCCCTCCATGACCACAGGTGTATACAATGAAGCCCCTAGGCATGCAGACGGCTTCTACAAACATTGGTGAAAGAATGGGTCGCTCTCAGGAGCTCAGTGACTCCAAGCGTGGTCCCGTGATAGGTGGCAACCTGTGCAATAAGTCCATCCGTGACATTTCCTGGCTACTAAATATTCCACGCTCAACTGTTAGTGGGATTATAACAAAGTGGAAGCAACTGGGAGCAACAGCAACTCAGCCACCAAGTGGTAGGCCACGTCACATGACAGGGCGGGGTCAGCGCATGCTGAAGCGCACAGTGCGCAGAAGTCGCCAACTGTCTGCAGAGTAAATAGCTAAAGACCTCCAAACTTGGTGTGGCCTTCAGATGAGCCCAACAACAGTGCGTAGAGAGCTTCCTGGAATGGGTTTCCATGACCGAGCAGCTGCATCCAAGCCTTACATCACCAAGTGCAATGCAAAGCGTCGGATGCCGTGGTGTAAAGCACACCGCCACTGGACTCTAGAGCAGTGGAGACGTGTTCTCTAGAGTGACCAATCACGCTTCTCTGTCTGGCAATCCAATGGACGTGTCTGAGTTTGGCAGTTGCCAGTACTTGCCTGACTGCATTGTGCCAAGTGTAAAGTTTGGTGGAGGGGAGCTTATGGTGTGGGGTTGTTTTTCAGAGGTTGGGCTTGGCCCCCTAGTTCCAGTGAAGGTAACTCTTAAGGCGTCAGCATACTAAGACATTTTGGACAATTTCCTGCTCCCAACTTTGTGGGAAGAGTTTGGGGATGGCCCCTTCCTGTTCCAACATGACTGCACACCAGTGCACAAAGCAAGGTCCATAAAGACATGGAGGAGCCAGTTTGGGGTGGAGGAACTTGACTGTCCTGCACAGAGTCCTGACCTCAACCCCATAGAACACCTTTGGGATGAATTAGAGCGGAGACTGTGAGCCAGGCCTCCTCCCCCGACATCAGTGCCTGACCTGACAAATGTTCTTCTGGAAGAATGGTCCAACCTTCCCATAGACACCCTCCTAAACCTTGTGGACGGCCTTCCACAAGCTGTTATAGCTGCAAAGGGCGGGGCCAACTCAATATTGAACCCTACGGACTAAGACTGGGGGGCCATTAAAGTTCATCTGTGTGTAAATGCGGGCCAACCCAATACTTAATAATATAGTGCACTATGGAAGTAAACACTTTTTTTCTTTTTCACATCGATTGTAGCGTGGAAGCGTGCCAGCTTGCAGACCCTGTATGGAGATTGGTGGATGGTTTACGTCTGTAAAGTGGTTCTAAAGGCTCAAGGTTTTTTTTAACTTCATGCATTCTGTGCATGAAGGTAAAAAAACCTACTTAGTTCAGCATTCCCCCACCCCTCCCCCAACACTCACCTAAACCCCCTCTTGATCCAACGATGTGCACTGGAGTCTCGGCTAGCTCAGGACTTCCTCTTCTCATTGGCTGAGACAGAAGCGGGAGCCATTGGCTCCCACTGCTGTCAATCACAGCCAGTGAACCAATAAGAAAAGAGAGGGGGCAGGGCTCCGTGTGTGAATGGATACATGAAGCAGTGGGTGCTCCCATAACAAGCTGCTTGCTCTGGGGACACCCGACAGGAGGGAGGGGCCAGGAGTGCCGGCATGAGGGACCTGAGAAGAGGAGGATCTGGGCTGACCTGTGCAAAACCACTGCACACAGCAGGTAAATATAGACATGTTAGTTATTTTTTTCTATAAAAAAAAAAAAGAATCACTTTAAAGTGATATTGACCATTTATAATTTTATGGTCCAACATAGTTCGTAAGAGGCCTTTATGGTTGGTGGAATTTTCTGGATGTACGTTGGTGCACTCTCACCAATGGATGAAACCTATGTATTTTCTTTACACGGATTTCATTTAGTGGAGTAATCACAATCACATATTGTGTATGGAATTCTTTTATACGTTTGTAATATGTATTGTTAATTAGCACTGCTTCTATTTTTTCATGTTCTATGTATATTATTGAACACTTTTCAATGCTTCCTTTTTAAAGGGGATGTAAAAACCTCTCAAACTGCAGGAAGCCCTACTAAGAAAAAAAAACAAAAAACAAAACCACAGGTTCTCTTTAGACAGGTCCTTTTATCTGTACTATTAACACAAAAATATAAGGGCAGTCTCTTTAAAACATAAATCCCATGTCTCTTTAGCTTGGGAATATCATATACAGCCTCCAGGGCAGGGCCCGCTGCTCCCCTGCATTGACCCACTGATGTCCACAAGCTGCAAAGAGGGTGGAGTTTACCTCTAGCTATCTCACAGGGAACATGGGACAGTCTGAGGTGGACTCCGCCCACTTGGCAGACAGGTGGGGTCTATGCCCTGAAGCAACAGTTCTTGAGGATTGTTAAACTGGCACCAAATGTTTATCTGTAAATCCAATTAGCTGAAGCAACCTAAGGCAGGCCATAGACAGGGCGAAAACCGGCCGTTTTTTTTTTTTTTTTTTAAACGAAAAATCGGTCGTTCAATTGGCCGACGTTACCACCATTGGTTTAAAAAAAAAAAAAAAAAAATGCTGATTTTCGTCCCGTCTATGGCCGGCAAATATAATAGCGGTGTCCCTGCAGAGAGCTCCACTATTATATTTGACATTTAAACGTATAGCAAAGTTGCTACATTGTATCTATTTGTATCCATTTCGGATACAGATGTTTCTATTCGGATACAAATAGATACAATGTTGCAACCGCAATACTTTTAAATGTCAAATATAATAGCAGAGCTCTCTGCAGGGACCCTCCGCTAATATTTTTGACATTTAAAAGTATTGCAGTTGCAACATTGTATCTATTTGTATCCAAATAGAAACATCTGTATCTGAAATGGATACAAATAGATATAGATGTTCTTTTTATCTTCTTCTTCTTTTCCTTCTTCTTGCAGGTCACGGCTCATTCGCATTTTTTTTTAATTGGTAAAAAGATCGGTCGATTTGCCCATCATTGCCGTGAAAAATAGGCTGATCAACAAAATCGGCCTTTTTTTTCCAACATGACCGATTAAAAAAAAATGTGTCAAACGGCCGACAAATTCACCCACTAACGATCCGAAAATCGGCCGATTATTCTTTTGGACGAATTTTCGGCCAATTTTCGACCCATCTATGGCCTGACTTAGTTCTCAGAATTGTATGGGAAGCTGTAGTTCCCTGAAACAGGACACTGCCAGACGGTCAGCTGAAAATATAGTGGTGGGGGCTGTATAGGCACAAGGTCAGATAGGGTTCCACTGGCAGAAACTTACAGGAATGGCGTGGTCCTTCTTCCCCTTGTGTGATGAGGCAACATGTGCCAAATACTGGATAACCTTCTTGGTATTCTCCGTCTTCCCTGCACCGGATTCACCTCTAAGAGAGAAGAAAAACCAGATCAAAAGGTGCTCCGTTACAGAACTACAAACAGCAGAAGTAGCATCTTATTTAAGCGTCGTCTCCTCTTAATCTGCATGGTAGATGGGCAGCACTAGGAGGCCAAGCTGAGGGGAGCTGGGTGCGACTTGCACTGCGATCTGAAAAACCCCCACCCTCTGCTTTTCAGGAAACCAATGGTGACTGATACCCAACTGTACCCAAGCAAAGAAAGGAAGCGTCGAAAAACTGGAAGGTAGAAAACAAGCCAAGACACAGCACTATTAACAGCAGAGGTCCCATCCTATTCAAGCAACGTCTCTGCACTTTGGATGGTCAGAACTAGTAGGCTAGGTCGAGAGGATATAAGGGCGATGAGCAATGCAATCTAAAAAAAACCCCACCCTCTGCTTTTCAGGAAACCAATGGTGACTGATACCCAACTGTACCCAAGGAAAGAAAGGAAGCGTCCAAAAACTGAAAGGTAGAAAAGAAGCCAAGACACAGCACTATTAACAGCAGAGGTCCCATCCTATTCAAGCAACATCTCTGCACGTTAGATGGTCAGAACTAGTAGACTAGGTCGAGAGGATATAAGGGCGACGACCAATGCAATCTGAAAAACTCCATCCTCTGGTTTTTCAGGAGACCAACGAAGACCCGACCTAACCTAGAGCTGAATTAAGGTGACCGTCATGTATTATAAAGATTTCTAACAAACAGCTTGCCTAGAGAAGATGAACAACTGAATGTACCATGAGTAGCAAGAAAAATGTCCTCTGTGGGTGGAGCTGCTGGTCAGTGAGGTTGTATATCACACTAAAGGTCCAATACAGCGTCCTGGGAGAAGAGGCCAAAAAGCAAACTTTTGAGTGGAAATTACCATTTATTATGCAATGGAGTGCCCTGGGTTATAGGGCTGTTGAAGATAACCAATGAGTATATTGCCAGCCTTTCCCAACTATTTTACTACAGAGGAAAATTACTCAGGATTAGTGGGAAGAATGCTCCTTACATTGGTGGTCAGTGGGAAGAATGTCCCTTACATTGGTGGTCAGTGGGAAGAATGTCCCTTACATTGGTGGTCAGTGGGAAGAATGTCCCTTACATTGGTGATCAGTGGGAAGAATGTCCCTTACATTGGTGGTCAGTGGGAAGAATGTCCCTTACATTGGGGGTCAGTGGGAAGAATGCCCCTTACATTGGGGGTCAGTGTGAAGAATGTCCCTTACATTGGTGATCAGTGGGGAAGAATGTCCCTTACATTGGTGGTCAGTGGGAAGAATGTCCCTTACATTGGTGATCAGTGGGAAGAATGTCCCTTACATTGGTGGTCAGTGGGAAGAATGTCCCTTACATTGGGGGTCAGTGGGAAGAATGCTCCTTACATTGGTGAGCAGTGGGAAGAATGTCCCTTACATTGGTGATCAGTGGGAAGAATGTCCCTTACATTGGTGGTCAGTGGGAAGAATATCCCTTACATTGGTGGTCAGTGGGAAGAATGTCCCTTACATTGGCGGTCAGTGGGAAGAATGCTCCTTACATTGGTGGTCAGTGAGAAGAATGCTCCTTACATTGGTGGTCAGTGGGAACCAATGTCCCTTATATTGGAGGCCAGTGGGAAGAATGTCCCTTACATTGGTGATCAGTGGGAAGAATGTCCCTTACATTGGTGGTCAGTGGGAAGAATGTCCTTACATTGGGGGTCAGTGGGAAGAATGTCCCTTACATTGGTGGTCAGTGGGAAGAATGCTCCTTACATTGGTGGTCAGTGGGAAGAATGCTCCTTACATTGGTGGTCAGTGGGAAGAATGCTCCTTACATTGGTGGTTAGTGGGAAGAATGTCCCTTACATTGGGGGTCAGTGGGAAGAATGTCCCTTACATTGGTGATCAGTGGGAAGAATGTCCCTTACATTGGTGGTCAGTGGGAAGAATGTCCCTTACATTGGGGGTCAGTGGGAAGAATGTCCCTTACATTGGTGGTCAGTGGGAAGAATGCTCCTTACATTGGTGGTCAGTGGGAAGAATGTTCCTTACTCCTTACATTGGTGGTTAGTGGGAAGAATGTCCCTTACATTGGGGGTCAGTGGGAAGAATGTCCCTTACATTGGTGATCAGTGGGAAGAATGTCCCTTACATTGGTGGTCAGTGGGAAGAATGTCCCGTACATTGGTGATCAGTGGGAAGAATGCTCCTTACATTGGTGATCAGTGGGAAGAATGTCCCTTACATTGGTGGTCAGTGGGAAGAATGTCCCTTACATTGGTGGTCAGTGGGAAGAATGTCCCTTTCATTGGAGATCAGTGGGAAGAATGCCCCTTACATTGGTGGTCAGTGGGAAGAATGTCCCTTACATTGGTGGTCAGTGGGAAGAATGTCCCTTTCATTGGAGATCAGTGGGAAGAATGTCCCTTACATTGGTGGTCAGTGGGAAGAATGCCCCTTACATTGGTGGTCAGTGGGAAGAATGTCCCTTACATTGGTGGTCAGTGGGAAGAATGCTCCTTACATTGGTGGTCAGTGGGAAGAATGTCCCTTACATTGGTGGTCAGTGGGAAGAATGTCCCTTACATTGGTGATCAGTGGGAAGAATGCTCCTTACATTGGTGGCCAGTGGGAAGAATGCTCCTTACATTGGTGGTCAGTGGGAAGAACGCTTCTCTTCGTGGTCAGAATACCACCGTTACAGACAGCTAAAAAGATCACTTGTGCCATGCTATTGCTACTTCACCATGAGCAGCAAGTTAGAACAAAGAGCAAGCGTAAAATTCTGCGTGAAACTGGGCAAATCTGCCACAGAGACGTTTGACATGATTAGGCAAGTTTACAGTGATGCTGCAATGAGTTGTCTGAGGTGTTTTGAGTGGCACATGCGCTTCAAGAGCGGAAGAACATCACTGGAAGACCTTCAATGAGCTCAAGCCCTGAAAATGAAGGTCCAAGCTCAAAGGTCGCCATTTTGACAACATTTTGACATCCAACTATATGCCCAGTTTCACATTTGTTCTAACTTGCTGTCCATGATGAAATAGGAGATGTGGTAACGCACGTGGTCAGGAGGTAAGACGTGGCCATTTGAACAAGAGGAGGATCAGAGAAGACAGGATCAAACAGCCTTTTTACACAATGCGGAGGATTAACCCCTTAGGTTCTATAGTGAGTATAACAGGCATACTTTACTGCATCTACAGACTGATTTCACTGTTGTGGGTTTAGTGACACTTTAACTCTCATTATGTCATATGTTGATGTGTGTTACGGAAAGCAAGTCCATTCATTTCAATTGGCTGCCAACGCATCAGAACGCCCAAAAGAATAAACGCACAACTTTTCTAGCAACACAACGCGTTTCAGTGCGTTACAATACAAGGAGTTCCCTATGCGAGCGGGGGTGCCACTGAAAATGAATGAATGCACTTGGTAACGTGTAAGTGGGCCCTCCACGTCAGACTTGAACATACCAAGGCAGAGGTAGTATAGCCTGAGATATCCCGGAAAAAAAAATTTTTTTTTGGAAAGACCAGAATTTGAAAGCGGTAATGTATTATAGGGGAATGGGTTAAGGTGGAGTTCTCCTTTAAGCCTCCCTTTTCCTACCCTTCCTATATTTATCGAGGGTTGTCTGTAGAATGCCAGGAGGTTGGAAAGGGCCGGTATGCCTGGCTCTTCCTGCGGTTAATTCAATCAAACGTTCGCCGTCTATCTTCCCTGGCTTGCGTTTCCTGGGCCGCGTCTCATGGCGGCAGGCGAACCGTCCTTTTATGGTCTGGCCCATCTGCCGGGACGACTCACGGCATGTCTTTAAAGGTATTAAAAAGCTAAAAGCGCCGAGCGCAAATGTTCTACCCATCAATTACAACCAGAGAGGGCGTCCTGGGTATAGAGCCCTGGCCTGCCAAAAAAACAAGATTCTGCGTCTGTGAAGAAAGAAATTTATGGTCGATCTGCGTTCGCAATAAAAGGATTTTTCTTCTGGAATGCATTTTATTCTTTAAAAAAAAAATAAAAAATGTAAAAAGGTTTTCAGTAGCCAATTTGAGGATTGGATCTATGAGCTGTCCCCCTTTGCAATTGCAGATATTTCAAGAAAAAAAAAAAAAAAAAAAAAGAATTTTCGTCCACTTATATTTTGCCCTGCCCCCACCCATACCCATGTTAATGACATTTTCAAATAAAACCTGTTTTCATGACATACTTTATTCTAGACCTAGTGATGTCACCACTGGGTCTCTGTACTTCTCTATGCAATGCAAGCAGATCATGGCTGGTGGGAGGGGGCCTTATTTCCTTTAACCACTTCATGTCCAGACACTTTTACCCCCTTCCTGTCCAGGCCAATTTTCAGCTTTCAATGCCATCACACTTTGCACTTTGAATGACAATTGAGCGGTCATGCAACACTGTACTGAGACAGATAAAGCTTTATTTTGGTGGTATTTATTCACCACTGGGATTTTTTATTTTTTTTTTTGCTATGTAAATGAAAAAGTCCAAAAATTTTGAAAAGTGTTTTTCTTATAAAATTTTGCAAATAAATAATAGTTCATCATAAATCTTGGCCAAAATGTATTCCGTTATCTTTTTAGTAAAAAAAAAAAATAACCCAAATTAGTTTATAACCCACAATTATAATTTTTTAAACATTTATTTTTACCTTTTGATTTTATTTTTTTATATTATGATTTTTTTTTTTTTTACACATACTGTCACCCTAGCAGTAGTGTCACCATGGTGACACTGTACTACTTGTGGGGGTGATGAAGATTTTTTTTTTTACACTGATTGATTTTACAGCCATAAAGGCTGTAAAATCAATTATTTCTCCTTCTCTCTGGCTGTATTCTTGCAGCCATTGAGAACTACTGTGTGAGCTGTGATTGGTCACAGCTTGTCACATGGTACAAGGCTGTTGTGAATAGCCCTGTACCATGTGACCTCTGTAATCATTCACAGATTTCACACATAGGAAGCAATGATGTCAGAAGTGACATCTTGCTTACTACTCTGCA